CCACGATCTGCAGCATGCTGGGCCTCCTCGACGGGAAATCGTCCACACACCTAAGTGTCACCTCCAAATACTTTACCATTTCCTTCACCTCCCCATCAACCATCAATTCCCCATCAATGACTTCCATACCCTTCCCCTCCCTCACCTTCCCCTTCACCCACCCCACCAAGTTGGTGTCCCCAAAATCCTCCTTGTCCGTCGGCCTCCGCCCAGTCAGCAGCTCCAGCAGAATCACCCCAAACGAGTACACGTCCCCCTTTGCCGTGCACCGGAAGCTCTGGTAGTACTCAGGCGGCACATACCCGGGTGTCCCTGCCAGCGTGCTCACGCTCAGGTGCGTGTCCAGAGCGCTGATCAGCCTCGCCATCCCAAAGTCCGACACTCGGGCCTCCATCTCATTATCCAACAATACATTGCTAGACTTCATGTCCCGGTGGATAATGTGAGGGATGCAGTTGTGGTGAAGGAAGCAGAGCCCCTTGGCGGCCCCACGTGCGATTTTCTTCCGCTCGCCCCAGCTTAGAACTCGTTTTTTCTCGTTGTTTTTGGGTCTCGAGTGGAGGACCTCCTCCAGGCTACCGTGGGCCATGAACTCATACACCAGCAGCCGCTCCTCCCCAACTTTGCAGTAGCCTAATAGAGGGACAAGGTTTCGGTGCTTGATTTTGCCAAGCGTCTCCATCTCAGCCATGAACTCGCGGTCCCCTTGGCAGCTGAGGCGGATGAGCTTCTTGATTGCGACTCTCGACCCATCTTTTAGGGTCGCCTTGAAGACCTCCCCGAACCCACCTGACCCGATCATGCTGGCAGCTGAGAACCCATCAGTGGCCTCGATCAGCTGCGAAAATTTGAGCTTCCGTAATTGCCGCTGGAAGGTGGCTACATTGATGCTTAGTGGCTCCTTCTCCTTCTCGATGTGCCAGGTGGTGCCCGCGTGGCCGGCTTGCAGGCTGCCCAGCATCTTCACCTCCTGCGCCTCTTTTTTGCGGGCCCTCATGGCAATCGCCCACACAACTAGAAGACAGACGGACGCCACAGATATGAGTATGCCCATGATAATGCTGTTGGCCCATGAGACAGCCGCCACTCCCCTGTGATCCCTCCTCCCACCGTTCCCCGTGGGGCCCGAATCGGGATTCCCATTGTACTTGCACTCATCCAAGGGGACCCCGCACAAGCCCGGGTTGTGCGCGTACTGACTCGCGGGAAGTGTGCTAAGCTGCCCTCTCGGGGGAATTTCGCCCGTCAGCTCATTGTAAGATAGGTCAATCTGCACGAGGAACGAGAGCATGGAGAAGGAGTCTGGTATGCGGCCTTGAAGTCTATTATGGGACGCGTCAAACACGCCCAGGTTCTTTAACTGGCCCAAGGAGGCTGGGATCTCACCCGACAGCTGGTTATGCGCCAAAACAAGGACCTGCAAAGCAATCATGTCGCCAAATGTATCGGGAATCCTCCCGCGCAGGTTATTGTAAGAAAGGTCAAGGTACTCCAGAGTCTGGTACCGGGTGAAAAGACTCAAGACGGGGCCGGAGTACATGAGGGTGAAGTCGCAGGTCCTCAGGGAAGGCACCTGCAGCAGCCGCTCGGGCCGGATGCCGGCGAACTCAAGCAAGCCACCAACTCCCGTGCAAGAATTCCCCAAATTCCGAACAAAAACCAAGGTGTTGCCCGACAGGATACCTGTCAGCGCCTTCGCCCCGAGCTGACGGCCGAGCCGAGACGGGATCTCGCCAGTCAACTGGTTGTTCTTCAAGTCTATCCAGACTAAACTCGTGCACTGGGCCAACTCCTGGGGAATCTCCCCAGTAAAGCTGTTGTTGCCCAGCTGTAAAACTGCGAGTCTCATTAAAGACCCAAATTCTCTCGGGATTTCACCGCTAACTCGGTTGCTGGTGAGAGAGATCCACTCAATGTCGATACAGTTGAATATCTCGCTCGGGATTTTTCCGCTCAAGTTGTTGTTGTTCAAGATGAGACTTTTTAGTTTCTTGCATTTGCCAAGCTCCGGGGGGATGTTCCCTTCCAAGCTGTTGTACCAGGCAATGAGCTGCTCAAGAATCTCGAGATTCCCAAGCTCGGCCGGGATCGAGCCGTTTAAGTAATTTAAGCTAAAATCAATTATCTTAAGCTGGGAGCATTTGGATAGCTGTGGTGGGATTTGTCCAAACAGGGAGTTATCAGGGGCTCTGAGCTCTTCAAGTGAAGAGCTGCTATTATCCGTACAGATGTTGGGAGGGATAGTCCCGTAAAGCGAATTGGAGCTAAAATCCACCACCCGTAAGTTCTTGCATAACGAAATGGAAGATGGGAACCCGCCGGAAATCCGGTTGCTACTGAGCAGAAGGCTCTCCAAAGACGACAACCCCTGCAGAATTTTATCTGGGAAAGGGCCCGTCAGGTTATTGCTTGACAGATCAAGCGTCCGGAGCATGGAACACGACGAGAATGAGTCAGGCACAGAGCCCGTTATGTTGTTTTTCGACAGCCTGAGCTCGACCAGCGAGCCACACACGTTACCCAGCTGGTTTGGGATCCATCCCGTAAGATGGTTCTGGGAAAGATCCAACCTCTGCAAGCTCTTTAGGGACCCGAAATCCGGCGGGATTTCGCCCGACAAGGAATTCTCTGGCAGGATGAGTTCGGTCAGTCCCGTGCAGTTGGCAAAAGCCCGCGGCAGAGGCCCGGAGACTTGGTTCCCAGACCAGTCGAGATGGGAAAGGGAACTGCACCTCTCGATTCTGAGGCCCGACACGGGGCCCGATATGTTGTTGTAGGAGAGATCCAGGTAGCGAAGCTTGTCTATGTCGATGAAGAGGGTCTCGGGCAGGGCGCCCGTAATGTTGTTAAAAGCGAGGTTGATGTACTCAATATTGGGGCAGTTGGCGAAGAGAGTTTCTGGTAGACGGCCCACAAGGCCCGAAAAGGAGAGCTCGAGCTGGTTGACGGCGGGCGGGAGTAGGGGCAGAGAGGTGGTTGCGTTTACGGTGAAGGAGTTTGCGGAGAGGTTCAATGAAGTGAGCATGTCCAAGGAGGAGAAGGGGGAGTAGGAGATGGGGCCCACCAGATTGGATTGGGCGAGATCAACGGCAGAGACGCGGCCCAGGTTGTTGCAGGTGATGCCGGGCCAAGTACAGGGGCTCTTCCCGGGCTGCCACCCGGATAAGGCGCCGTTGGAATCTTTCCGGATCATCTTCTTCAAGGACAGTAGAGCTAAGGCGTCCGTTTTTGTTGACGATAACTTCTGGGCGATGGAGGAGGTTATAAGGGACCAGAGGAGGATGACGGCGAAGTGGTGGAGGAGAGCCATAGCCATTGATCGGTCGAGCTGCTTCTGGCGAGTGTGTTATGAAAGGGGCTTGAGATTCTTGTGTTTGTGTGTGTGTGTGTGTGTGTGAGAGAGAGAGAGAGAGAGAGAGAGAGAGAGAGAGAATGGGAGGAAAGTGGTGAATATGATGACAATGATTCTGTGTGTGCATAAAGGAGGGAGAGTGAGAATGAGCTTTTGGAGGAAAAGAAAAAAAAAAAGTTGGTGTATTATGGCGTATGTTTTTATATTGGGGAAAGAAAAGAGAGGGAAAAGGAATTGGTCTATCTTGAAATTGGGAATGTAATTTATTTAGTATTTAGTAGGCAAAAGTGATCAATATTAAATATACTCTACTTCATTAAGTTTAGTTTTTCAATTTCCTTGGTAACTTTTTTCCGTTATTTATGTGTGCATGTTAAAGTCAATGATTAGTACCAAAACGAAGGTTTTGATAACGTAATAGCATCGGTGGTGGAGCTAATGTTCAATTGTGTACTCTCTGATAGCGATCGGGTCGTGGTCGAACATGTAGAACTTATATATATTATTTTTTTTATTCAACTTATTAGTGAGTATCCCATAAAATGCACGACGGGCTTATTTCTTACTCTGTTTAAAATTGTATACAATATATTACCTTGCTAATCGTTTGTATCAATAAATAATATTTTAACATTTATACTTATTGTTTAATATACTAGTATTTGTTCATGTGTATTTGTACAGATATAAAACATGTTTTTGTTTGTATTTATTAATTAGACATGTACTTTGTTGGGGTATCACAACAAACGCAACGGACAAAAATACCCCTCCAACAAATATGTCAAGCACTACTACAAACGAAAATAAGTCAACACAAATAAATAAAAGACGAGAAAGAAAAGAACACAAAAAAATTAGGATTTCCTTAATTAAAGATTTCCTTCTAAATATGAGATAATTAAATAAGGTGTCATTGTAACCCAAAGGCAAGGGACCTATTTATACTAAAAAGATCATACACATCTTTGGTACATATCCGATGTGGGACAACAATTAATCAAAATCTAACAATTCTCCACCTTGACTAGTTTTGCTCCCACTCTCAACTCAACTGTTAGCGGTTCCTCCAAATGCGCCTCACGACGCCAACTCAAATATGTAGAATGTTGGTCAAGTCTAAACAGTGTTCAAACTTGACTGTTGTCACTACCTTGGTCATCATATCTGCAGGATTCTCAGCTGTCTTGATCTTCTTCAACACAACGGTTCCATCTTCTAGAATCTCCTGCACAAAGTGATAGCGAACATCAATATGCTTCGTTCATGCATGAAATACTTAGTTTTTCACTAAGGAATAACGCTCTGACTGTCACAATGTGCTAAGACATGCTTTTGACCAACTCCCAAGTCTTCAAGCAAGCTTTGAAGCCAAATAACCTCATTCACAGCTTCAGTAACTGCCATATACTCTGCCTCTGTTGTAGACAAAACAACTGTTGACTGTACGGTAGACTTCCAACTGACTGGAGATTTCGCAAAAGTGAACAAATATCCAGTCGTTGATCTTCGCTTATCCAAATCGCCCGCATAGTCAGATTCACAATATCCTGCAACTACACATTGACCAACTTCATTCTTCTCATAAACTAATCCAACGTCTACAGTACTATGAATGTACCGTAGTGAGGGGAAAGTGGTGTACTTACAGGTTTCGACTTATCTTTTATGTCGAAACGCTGCAGTACCTTATTCAGATATTGCTTCTGAGTAAAAAAAGCTTGTCTCTCACTCTGTCCCTGCTTATCTCCATCCCGAGTTCTTCTTAGCTTCCCCCAAGTCTTTCATCTTAAATTCTTGATTCAACTGATCCTTCAATTGATCAATCTCCACTTGGCTTTTTGATGCAACCAACATGTCATCCACATACAAGAGTAAGTAAATGAAAGATCCATCTTGCAGCTTGTGTAAATACACACAATGATCATGTCTACTTCGCGTGTACTTCTGCCCAATCATAAACTTATCAAACCATTTGGACCATTGCCTTGGAGATTGCTTCAGTCTGTACAACGATTTGTTCAACTTACAGACCCAATTCTCTTTTCTAAGAATTTTGAATCCTTCTGGCTGAGTCATGTAGATTTCTTCATCTAAATCTCCGTGTAAGAACGTCGTCTTCACGTCAAGTTGAGCTAGCTCTAAATCCAACTGTGCTGCTAAGACCAACAAAATTCTAATGGAAGAGTGTTTAACAATTGGAGAAAACACTTCATTATAGTCAATTCCTTCCTTATGAGCGTAGCCTTTAGCCACCAACCTTGCCTTGTAGCGCACATCATTCTTCTGAAGAAATCCATCTTTCTTTGCAAATACCCACTTGCATACTATCGCCCTCTTGCCTTTTGGTAGTTGCGTCACCTTCCAAGTTTGATTCTTCTCGAGAGACAACATTTCTTCCTCCATAGCCCATTTTCACTTCTCATTTTCTAAACTTCGAATTGCATCTTGAAAAGTGAAAGGTATGTCATCATCAACAATTGGAAGTGCATAAGCCACCATATCCACCAATCAAAAAGGTTGTTGGATCTCTCTTCTGAGCTTTCTCAATGCCATGGGTAAATCTAATGATTCATGAGTCTGAACTTCATCATCCGATGAATCGTTTGATATTGTTTCGTCGATCATAGCTGGTTGTCTCGTCATCGCATCTAGCTCCACCTGCTTCGCTGTCAACTCCACCTAATGGGTTTGCGTCGTATTTATCATACTTTATTCATCAAATGTAACATCCTTGCTAAACACAGTTTTGTTCGTCTCAAGACACAAAAGACGATATCCCGTCACGCCAAGTGTGATTCCCATGAACAAAGCCTTTTTCTCTCTTGGATCTAACTTTGAATCCTTCACATGATAGAACGTAGGACACCCAAAGACATGTAAAGATCCATAGTCAGCAACAGGTTTTCTCGACCATACCTCCAATGGTGTTTTACCATCTTTTGCAGATGATAACAAATGATTTATGAGGTGTTGCGCATATGTTACAGCCTCAGCCCAATACTCCTTGCCCAAACCAGCATTGGACAACATACATCGAACTTTCTCCACCAATGTTCGATTGATGCGCTCCGCCACCCCATTTTGTTGTGGTGTCCGTCTAACGGTGAAGTGCCTAACAATTCCACTTTTTCGACAAATTTCTTGAAAGGGGTCACTTGTATATTCTCCACCATTGTTCGATTCATGTGCTCTGCCACCCCATTTTGTTGTGGAGTCCGTCAAACGGTGAAGTGCCTAACAATGCCATTTTTACGACAAACTTCTTGAAAGGGATCACTTGTATATTCACCACCATTCTCCGTACGTAGGACCTTGATCTTCCTTCCAGTCTGGTTCTCAATTTGTGTCTTCCATGTAATGAAGACACCAAGCACTTCATCCTTTGTCTTCATAGTGTACACCCAAACACGCTTGGAAAAGTCATCGATGAAAGTGACAAAATAGCGTCTTCTGCCGAATGACGGGGTTTTAGATGGTCCCCAAACATCTGAATGAACATAATCCAAGACACCTTCGATATTATGGATAGCCGTTCAAACTTCTCTCTCTTCTGCTTTCCCAGAACACAATGCTCACAAAAGTCTAATTTGCACACTTTGACATCTTTCAACAGTCCTTATTTTGCCAATGTTTGTAAGGACTTTTCACCAGCATGTCCCAAACGCATATGCCACAACTTGACTTCTTTAGACTCCTTGTTGTGGAATCTGCTACTGTTACTGGCCCAACGACAGTATCACCTTCATAGTAAAACAAGTTATTTCTCCTGATGTCTTTCATCACCAGGAGCGAGTCGGATGTAGCTTTCATAACTCCATCTTGCGAAGTCACCACCAAGCCTTTGGATTCTAAGGCTCCTAATGAGATGAGGTTTTTCTTCAAACTCGGCACGTACCGAACATCCGTCAAAACTCTAGTGGAATCATCGCGATTCTTCAAATAGATTGAACCTATCCTAGTTGTCTTACAGACATTATCATTACCCATATAGAAAACCCCTCCATTGATCTCTTGAAAATTGAAAAACCACTCCCTTATGGGAGACATATGGTAGGTGTATCCTGAATCCAAAATCCATTCGTCTGGATGAGATGATGAAAGTGAAACCACAAGTGAAAATTCTGAGTCTTCACTTCCACCCTCAGCAACATATGCATCTTGAGGAGATTTGACCTTCTTCTTCTTCAACTTACGACAGTCTTTCTTCCAGTGCCCCTTCTCATGACAGAAAGCACACTCGTCTTTTTCAAGCATGGGTTTGGAACGTGATCTTCCTCGTCCATTCTTCTTTTGGCTCTTCGACCGACCTCTTGCAACCAGCGCTTCATCTTTTGCTGTTGCATTCTTCGTCTCTTGTTTGTTCTTCTTCCTCAACTCATAGCTATACAAAGTAGAACTGACCACTGCAAGAGTTACATCGTCCTTTCCATGGAGCAAGGTAGTCTCCAAGTGCTCGAAGTCATCCGGAAGTGATGATAACAACATTAGAGCCAAATCTTCATAGCTGAATGTGACGTTCAAGTTCAACAAATCTGCAACCAATTGATTGAATGTAGTGACGTGGTCATTCATCGATGTGCCATGCCAGTACTCGAATCGGAACAATCGCTTCTTCATGAGAAGCTTATTCTGGCTGCTTTTCTTCAGAAATTTATCCTCCAAAGCCTTCAACAGAGTGTGAGCAGAGTTCTTATTCTTGAACGTGTACTTCTGCTCTCTCGACAAACACGGACGAATTGTTTCACATGCTAAGCGGTTGATATTCTTCTAGTCCTTTGCTTCAACATCTGTTGGCTTCTTTTCTTCCATCGCAATGTTGACGCCTTGCTGCAATAGACAATCCAGCACCTTGCCTTTCCACATGCCGAAATGACCGGTCCCGTCGAAGATCTCCACTGGGAGTCTGACGTTCGGCATCACCGTCCATGTCGGAATGAATGCAGAGGATGATGCGCACTTGA